TTTTCCTCTGGAAAACACGATATTCCTGCGGATTCCGTGGTATTTCCCTCGGTTTTCCTTGATTTTTCGTAGGAAAAAGCTTATTTTCCTATTACCTATGGCGTTCGTGTCATTTCTTCAGGTTTTCAGAAGGACAACATATGGTTGTTCCTCTGGAAAATCAAATTTTCCTTACAATTTCACATTTAGGACGGAATTCCTGTTGTAGCTGTTGCTGGTATTCCGCTTCATCATCTATCTTAAACACGCCCCTCATTTGGCGATTCTGGTTCAGCATGTATCTACAAGGGCGGAGACGCCCTCATTTGCTGGGTTTCAAAAAAAGGCATATGCTTCAAAGCAACCTTGCACGGCTTAAAACAGCGGGGGGGTTGGGGGGGGGCGCAGCCCCCCCCACTTGCAGAGACAACGTTCACATGATGGGCTTCGAAAACACTCTTTGAATCAAGCTTGCACGTCTCGAAAAGCGCGGCGGCGGGTGTTTTGTTCTTCCGTGCCTGTTCGTGTCTCTTCTTCCGTTAGCATTCTGACCTAATATATATATATATAACATAGTAAACCAGAAGAACGACATAAGATGGTTCGACAACACAAAAATGGTGTGACATTTTCTGACATAACAGAACCTTGCTTCTTATAGCATATAATAGCATACTAAAAAAACAATACAATATAACAGAAGATGACATAGAACAAAACAACATCTTAGTTTATAGTGTAGTACATTGTAACATAGTACAATACAGTGTGTATATTTACAACATAATATGTAGTATATTCATTTTATAACATTAGGTTACATTATGTTATATTATGTTACGGTACATTACGATATTATGGTAAATTCGATTGGACTATGTAGTATCCTGTTGCTTGTATCTTTGTTTCTGTGATTCTTTCATATTCTTTCTCTTTCGTATTTTCCAACTTTGCTTTTTTATTCTGGACTTCTTTCTTTCTTTCGCTCGTTCATTTCTATTATTTCTTTCTGTTGTTCTTTCTTTGTTCATCTCATACTCCCTTCCTTTCTTTCTTGCTTTCTTTCTGGTTTGATTTATTTCGTTCTTTCTTTGGTTCGTTCTTGCTTTCGTTCTTTCGTTCTCTCTCTCGTTCTATCTTTCTTTCTTTCTGTTTTCCTTTCTTTCGTCCTCTGTAGATACAGCAATTTTTGAATTTTCCCAGGGGAAACACTGTTTTCATACGGATTCGTTTTCATTTCCTGAGGATTTGCTTGGTTTTTGCTCGGGAAAACACGATTTCCCTACGGATTCCGTGGCATTTTCTTAAGTTTCTTTCTTTAGTTCTTGCTTTCGTTCTTCCTCGTGTTTTTGCTTTCGTTCTTTCGTTCTCTCTCTCGTTCTTTCTTTCTTTCTGTCTTTCTCTCCTGCTTTTTAGATACAGCAATTCTTGAATTTGTCCAAGGGAAAACACTGCTTTCCTAGGGATTTTCTTTCGTTTCCTACGGATTTGCTTGGTTTTTCCTTGGGAAAACACGATTTTCCTACGGATTCCGTGGTATTTCTCTAAGTTTTCCATAGTTTTTCCTAGGAAAAAACCTATTTCCCTGTTACCTACGGCGTTCGTGTCATTTCTTCAGGTTTTCCGAAGGAAAACATACGTTACCTAGCTTATTCCTCGGGAAAATCAAATTTTCCCTACAATTTCGCATTTAGGACGGATTTCGTGGTGTAGTTGTTGCTAGTAGTGTTGTTGTTGGCGTTGTGGTTGTAGGTGTAGTATGTTGTAGTTTTAGTTGTAGTTGTAGGGATAAAAAACCCGAGGGTCAAACAAAAATCAAATAAGGATCAAAAAATGACATACGGCAATTGCAGCCATTCAGCGTGCTTGTTCTGTCTTTCTTACTGTGTTGTTCTTATTCCCTTGTGTTTTTTTGGGTTTGCGTTCTTTATTTCGTTCGATCATTCCTTGTCTGTCTTTCTGTGGTTGGTTCTTTCCGTTTGTTTTTGTTCTGTTTTTCCGTTCGTTCGTTATTTATTTCTTCCTGTCTTCCTTCCCTTGGCTAGTAGTGTTGTTGTTGTTGTTGTTGTTGGCGTTGTGGTTGTAGGTGTTCTGTCTTTCTGTCGTTCTTTTTTCTTTTCTGTATTTCTTTGTTTATGTATCTATATATCTCTTTTTTTTGCATCTTCTTTTTTGCTGCATATCTTTGTTTCTGTGTACTCGTGTTCTTTCTTTTCTTCCTTCGCTGTTTCTTCCGGGGCGACGTCAGTTCTCGCTGAAACTGCGTCAAGCCGATTTAAGCGTCGCACCCCTAGAACCCAGGGCAAAAAAAACAGCACAATGAAGCGATAGTCTTACGTATCGTTCTTCTTTATTTTCCGCGTCTTTCTTGTTCCTTTAACTATTTCTGTTTTTCTTTCTTAATTTATGGCCTTCAGTCTTTCTTTATTTCTCTGTTTTTGTTCTTTGGTTGTTTCTTCATTGTTTGTTTTGTTTTTGTTTCTAACTCTCTTTGGTTCTTTCCTTGTGTTTTCTTGTTTCTTTCCTTATAGCTTTCTTTATTTACTTAGTTCTCTATTTTTGTTTTCTTTCTTTACTTGTAGCTTTCTTTATTTACTTATTTCTCTATTTCTTGCATGGCTTTCTTTCTTTCTTTATGTATTTATTTCTTTCTTTCTTTTGTTCTTTCTTTCTTTCGTTGTTTTTTTATTTCTTTATTTCGTTCTTTCTTTCTTTCTTCCTTGCTTTCTTTCTTCCTTCCTTTCTTGCTTTCTTTCGTTCTTTCTTTCCTACTTTCTTTCCTTCTCTCTCTCTCTCTCTCTCTGTCTTTCTTTCCTTCCTTTTGCCCCTTCCTTTCGCGGATGCCCGTTTAATTTTTTTTTGATCCTTATTTAATTTTTTTTTGATCCTTATTTAATTTTTTTTGATCCTTATTTAATTTTTTTTTAACCCCTATCCCGTCGGTCCTCCTCTGAGAACACTTGGCACTTTCTTTGGCATTGCTTTTACCTTTGTTGCTGGCGTTGCTGGGCTGCTTGCCTTGCTTTTTCTCTTGATCGTCGCCATAAGCTTTGCTAGGGCTTGTCGCTCCTTCTCTTGATCTGGCTCTGGCCTTGTGTACAAATCTAGGCTTGTGAGCTCTTCGCTTAGAGCTGACAGTAGCTTGTCTGCCGTCTGTACCACTTCGCCTAACTTCTGCAAAGCACTTCTCACATTGCTTGCGTCTTCCTCGAGTTCTCGCACTTTCTTCATCTTTGCCTCGAGCTTTTCTTTCATCTCCTTCTTGAGTTCTTGCTCGTATTGATCCATCTCTTCTCTGGCTTGCTTGTAAGCTTCTTCAGCCTTCCTTTCGTCCTCTGTGAGCGTGGACATGCTCTCCATATATTCTTGCATGTCGTCTTCCACTTTTGCTAAAAACTCTGCGGTCCTTAAACCGTACCTTGCTGGGAGTCTTGAGACGGGGCGTCTCATCTGTTCTTGCCACATCACGAATTCCCTTTCTAGGATCGTTGTTGGCATGGCCAGCCGAATGCTTTCGACGTTCAGCTGTCCCATGACTGTTGGGAATATAGACATTGTGTCTATGTTGAAACCACTTCTGAGGGCTTCCATTGCCTCACGGGCTTCCTCATCAGAGGATTGAACTACCGCTTCTTCGGCATCTTCCTTTTCTTGTGGCTTCTCTTCTTCTTTCTTCTCTTCTTCTTGCTTCTCTTCTTCTTCTTGCTTCTCCTCTTCTTTCTTCTCTTCTTCTTGCTTCTCTTCCTCTTTTGGCTTCTCTTCTTCTTCTTCTTCCATTGGCTTCTCTTCTTTCTGAGGATTCTCTTCTTTCTGAGGCTTCTCTTCCTCTGCCTTCTCTGCAACTCTATCCGCTTCTGCTCTTACTTCTGCTCTTCTTTCCTTAGCTGCTGCTTTCATCTCTTCCAGCTGCTGTAGCTTTTCATCCATGATCTCTCTTTGCTTTCTTATCCCTTCCTGGGTGTCTTCAGGGATGTTCACCTTCCTTTGCTCCAACGCTGCGAAGTTAGCCTCTTTCGACTTCCTTAAATCTCTCTGCTTCTTCTGCCAATTCTTCTGCAGTTTTCTTGAACGTCTCCAAATCTTCTTCCTTCTTGTCTTCCGGTGCTTCTTCTTCATCGTCCTTCTCTGCTGACTCTTTTTCCTTGGACTCATCGGACTCTGGATCCGACGCTGCTTCACTTTCATCCTTTTTCTCTGGCTGCTCTTCCTTCTTCTTGTCAATCGACTTGACTTCATACGGCTGATTGAGAGCTTCTACCTCCTTCCAGAGGTCATCAGCATTTGGTCTTTGCGACCGATCTCTCTTGAGCACTTTTTCGAGGTAAGTGGTAGCCTCGATACTTCTGCTGCACTCACTGATCATGTATTTGACTGCGTCATCGTCTGCCATTGCTCTTGTCCTATCTTCTTCTTTTTCTTCTTCCTTCAGGACTTCCTTCTTGAGCAAAGCGGCTGCGCTTGCAACTTTATGCACAATCGCTGATATGAACATGCACAACAGTATGCAGACTACGCTTGCTCTTCCCAGTCCTTGTTCACCTTCTTCGCCGAATCTTCTTGCTTCAGCCAACGATAACAACACTGCGGTCGTAACCGTCTGGATAATCCTTGTAATCATCCTTTCGTCGAATCTTGGAACACTTCTTGTTCTTGTCCTTCTCACTTCAGCTTCTTGAACTTCTTGATCACTTGGTGTCAAAAATTCACCTGTGTATCCTAAGCTTAGCATATACTTGCGTATCTTCTCTCGTGTCAGGGATTTGGTCCCTAGGTCTGAGGGATTGTCCTTACCTGCTATCGCCTTTATGATGTGTTCTCACGCCTTGAGCCGAACCTTTTGAGCCTTGAGGGTTGAGGACGGGGTTTAAGGGAAAATCAGACTTCGCAGGAAAATCAAAGCTTCCAAAACTCTCATGCGCAATAGCAGAAGCTCCACGCCAATGCAAATGTCGTGAGAGGAAGAATCAGCAGTCCATCAATCTCAAGCTTGAAGCGTCACACAAAAGATGCCGTTCAGGAAGTCAGATGTTTTCACTCGGTGCGTCGAACTGATCCTCGTCGGCTGAAGCAATGCGCCACATGTTCACATGACGGTCGCAGATGCCTCACTTCCCCCGGTGTGGGAGGGCGGGTCACAAAAGAACTCGAGTCGTAACTCTGCTGAGGAGCGATCTCATTGGCACTGTACACATGATCAAGCTGCCTTGCAAAACACGCTGTTCCACTGAAGTAAAAACTTTCAATCACAAATCTTCAATCACATGTCCGCAGGAAAGTCCAAGCGTTCTGAGATGCATTCCCCCCCCGCCCCCCCTCAAGGCTCCCGAACACACTTTTGGTCAGGCCCAAGCAGCGTGTTCTCACGCCTAACTGCGGTTCAGGCAAGACTCGGGCATCGCAACGAAGTCCCGAGCTGCGCGTCCAGTAACGTCTTTGGTTACCTGGTTGTCGGTTGTGAGACCGAACCTAAAAGGTCAAACATGAAGCTTACAAGCAGAGGACATGTGACAACTGTACAATCCAAGGTGCTTGAAGCTGAGGCATGAAAGACCAAACAAACTAGAGTCGCAGAGGCGTAATTAGCCGATGCGTGAAAGCTAAGGCTCAGGAGAGCCGAGAAGAACGTGAGCCTTTGGCTCGGGTTTGCTAAAAGGAGAGGTGCAGGGCTACACAGCAAGCACAAACTGCCTAGCGAGAGCCTAAGCAGCATCGAAGTGACGTGCGGAGCAGCTGTACACCTCTACGGCTTCAGATGGACTCGACGTAGGAACTCAGAGGGACACAGCAGCGCGCCTCAGCCAGCAGCCCACGCCCCGCAGCACGCCACCGCAGCCAGCAGCCAGCGGCGGCAGCCAGAAGGAGCGGTGCAGCACGTAGTTCCCCGAGGGAGCCACCGTAGAAGCCGTCAACGATGCAAATGTTCAGTGTCGTAGCGAGTTTCACGGATCATCTTGAATGATACGAGCCGGCCGCCTCGCACGAAGGTGCTGCGCCAAGACATTGGAGGCACCAGCAGAAGCCAAGATGGCCCCCCGCTCCCAAAGCGCTGCACGATGAAGCTCTGCATGCCAGCTCACCCTGCCCGATCCACGAGCCCGGTGCTCGCGAATGCTGTTGGCAGCCGCATCGGCCCGTTCGTTGAGGTCCCTGCAGCGGTCGGCCGTTAGGCCCCAGGGAGCAGTCCAGTTGGGCCGCCGACCATGTGCAGGAGTCCACGAAATCTTCAGGTCCAAGCCACCGGCACGCACATCACGGAGTAGCCTCGCAGCCTTGTGAGCCAGGAGAGGCATGGAGCACGCCTCAGGTTGCGCCACAGCCTGAAGAGCAGAGCTGCAATCCACCAGGATGCCAACCTGACAGCCTGGGGCCAACTGCGCACGAGAGATCGCCTCGAAGAGGGTCGTCAAAGTGAGGAGCTCACATCGGAAAGCCGACTGGTCTTCACAGGCATCACCGAAGACGAAGGCGCCATCGCCGCTTCCGAAGATCACGGCGCAGCCGCCAACATCAAACTTAGCACTGCCATCGGTCGCGATGAGCAGACGCTCGCCCACAGTAGCGAAGTTGCGAAGATGCGCCACAATGCTCTGAAGGGTGTTTTCAAAGTCCGAAGCTGCAGGAGCTGCAGGGTACTCAGGGATTTCGGCTGCAAAGAGCCGTTCACCAGCACGGGTGGAAGGAGGTGCGAGACCTTGCCGCAATCCCGTCGTTGAGGAGCAACACCAGGTGAGATGCGCTCGGCTGGGCTGCAAGAGGCCACAAACACACGCCGTGGTGTCGGGTGAGCTCATCTCCAGCCGTTTGCAGTGGTACCAAATGGAGCCGCCCGAGCCAAGGCGAACTTCACGTGTAGGCTCAGCCGCGACTGCAAGGCGGTGACCTTCAAGCGCAAACCGAGCACTGCGAAGCGGGGCCCCCAGGCTGAGACCACGGGCCAACGTTGCATCATCGCGGTGGCCACGATTGCGGATCCGCCCACACGAATGCACGCCCTGCCACTTGTAGTGGTCCACAAGCCAGCGCTTGACCACATCAAAGGATTCCCAGCCAAGGTGGCACTGACGGAGGGTGCCCGAATCGTCGAGCCGTGCCAGGATGGCGCCATTGCCTTGGACCTGCCAGCCTAACCTTTGCACAACCGCTGCCGCACCAGGGAGGAAGCGACGCCAGTCACCACAAGCAACATCGAGCCCAGCAGTGTCGAGCCATGCCGGGGGCCGAGCCTTGAAACGCCAGGCAGCCCGCAGGGATGCCCAGTCCGCCGCCCATTCAGGGTCCAAACTCCAGCCAAAGGAGGCACACAGCAAGACTTTAGGAGACTCGAAGGTGGCGTGCTTTTGCAGGACAGCACAAGTGGAGTGCCAGACGTCGCGCAAGCAGTCGCGGTCCGGGCAGGCGACACCACCAGCCCAAAACATGGCCGAGTGGACCAGCTGCAGCACGATGCGACGGAGCTGGGGCACCTCCCCTCCCAGGAGCTTGAGGAAGCGAAGGCGATGCAGAAGCCCTCAATGCCACATCCATTGCCCCAAGAGGGTCCGCACACGTGCAGGAGGGCCACAACACCCGGTCGTCTATAAAGATTAGGCAGTCGGTGCGTCCCTTGGCAAAGGACTGGACCCACATGGCCCAGATATGGCCGACCGCGACCGCGGCCATTGGAGAGAGTGGGCATCCCTGCGCCAGGCCCCGCGCCGGGCTGCCCCATGCACTGCTGGACCGGCCCTCGTGCAGAAAGAGCCTCGAGGCATCCTGGTAGAAGGAGGCTAAGAGCTCAGCGAGGCCAGCAGGAGCACCAAGGTGCCGGAGCACCATACCCACCGCCTTGACATCAAGTGAGTCGAAGAACCGCGTGAGGTCCTGCTGGCAAAAGACTTTGCCGCCGCTCTGCCACGCATGAAAGAGCCGGGCATGAGCGTCACCCGGACCTCGACATGGTGCACCGCCCAAGGTGTGGTGGCCCAGCCATGTGTCCATCCACGGCAGCACATTGCGAGAGATGCAGTGGGCACCAGCTCGCCAAATGACAGGGCACAAGGCGATCGGGCGGTATTCATCCAGGCGCTTCGGCACCAGGGCAATCAGTGCCCGGCGCCAGAGTCGAGGAACGTACTTCGTGGAGAGCACCGCATTCCACAGAGTGGCCGCCGCTTCCCACCACGGCACTGGGAGGCGGAGCAGAAGCTCCGCTGACCATCGGTCAGGGCCCATCGCTTTCCCCCGCATTGCCTTGGTGGCCCGCATCAGAGCCTCAGCCTCAACCTGGAGCACAATGTCCGATTGCGGCCCGCCCGGGACACGGTCAAGGATGCGCTGCACGGCATCGAAGTTGACAGGGGACTCCGGCTTCCAGTGCTGCAGCCACACTTTACCATGCTCCTCGACAATAGAGGCAGGGTGAACAGAGGAAGGGACACCAGCATGGGCCTGAGGAGATTGCTCCATGGCCAACTGATGGTCAGCTTTGCGCTTGACCCAGGCGAGGGCACGAGAAGGATCCTCCTCAACACGGCGACGCCACCTGTGCACTCTGGCCTCCGTCTCCTGCTGCTGAAGCTCAGCATGCAAATGAGAGATCACCTGGGTGGCACCTGCAAGGTTGGCAGCATGTATCACAGGGATGTCGGGGAAAGTGGCACGCAGGAGCCCAGCCCGGCGGCCCACCGCACGCCACAGCTTCTGACAGTGGGGCTGTTGCCGCAGTTGGTGCAATTGCCCAAGCAACTTGCGAGATGAACGGAGGGACTGGGACTCATGACCCTGGGGGCCGACACGATGGTGAGACTCGTGGCGGGCACAAGGGAGCCAGTGGTCGCTCCTGCGGGCACCAGAGGCATCGAAGAGCGAAGTGGCACCCAGCGTGCGCTCGGCCACGTCTGACAAGAAGGCCCAGGCTTCATCAAGAGCCCCACCTGCAATAGAACTCTCAAAGTGTGCGGCATCCCAGACCCTACCAAAGTTAGACAGGATGTCTTCAGTGGCCGTGGCAGGGAGCTCACGAAACTTAGGCATGGAGAAGCTGTCGGCACGGCTCAGGCACCGCGTTTCGTAGAAGACGCACCCGTGGTCCGAAAGGTTCGGGCGCTCGAACTGCTTGACAGCCGTCGCAATGATTGACCAATGGGCCAGGCCAAAATCAATGCGCCGGGTGCGCGTGGGATTTGTTGGGCCGGCTTGGGTCCAGTCCGCCTCATCCAAGGACCGGAGCTCACCATCGCACAACAGCTGCACCACAGCTTGCTCAGACTGGTCAACATTGAAATCGCCGAGCAAGATGTAGGGGCCGCCGAAGGTCGCAGCTGCACGCCTAACCTCACCTAAGGCCTGGGCTGTGGCAGCTGGCTGACCAGGGAAGCCGTAGAAGGCCACCACAAGGGTGATGCACTTGCTGCCAGCAGCCTGCATCTCAAAAGCACCTGCAGCACAGCGCGCAGCCACATGCGGAGGAAGCTTAAGGTTCACACGATGCATGGGGAGGGAGGCGACCAAGGCCACCCTATGCACACCCTTGGCAGCATCAATGTCACTGAGAACAGCCCGATAGCCATGGGCACGCCAGCGCTCACCAAAACCGTGGGCCGACAAAGGGTTGATGTCAGCCTCCTGGAGAGACAAGAGCTCAGCCCCACAGGACTGGAGGAAGTCGGCACACAGGTCCACTTTGGAAATGGCCGTGCGGTTCGCATTGATGCTCAAAAGCTTGATGAACACGGCGAGGAGGGGATTCGCATGGAGATGGCAAGCTTGGCAGCCGCGGCAGCACGGAGCACCTGGGAGCAGAAGTCGGGGTCACCTCCGGCACGCCGGGCCCACGCCTCGATGGCATCAAGTTTTTGGATCCGCTTCTGGGTGTTGCTCTGCGACTTGCAACGGCCCTCGCTATGCTGCTTGGCGGCAGCCAGGTCCCTGGTGCACTCACCGCACCGGAGGCACTTCCAACCATGCTCAAGGAGGACATGCTTGACCCGGGTGCTGCGTTTCTCACACCTGGCTCGAGGCCACACAAAGAGCTGCATCTGGTCCCCAAAGCGAGGGGTCCTGACTTGAGCGAACACGGCCTTGGTGAGGTTGCGCTGGCGGCACCCTTTGGCATGCACCTGGCGATCCTTGGGCCCGGTTTGCGGGAGTGCCACAAGACGCTGCCACTCAGCCTTGGAGACCTCGGGGTGGGCCTGTGCACGATGCTGGTTGCGCAGGGCATAGTAGGAGAATCGAGAAAGGTCCTTCCGAGTCTCGTGCGTGATTCCCTTGTTGCAGAAAGGGCAACACCAGATGAACTGAGCCCTTGGGCCGCAGACCCGCGTGAGCTTGGGTCGCCCGATGTCCGGCTGCAGGCCCTGCCCCTCATGGGCACGCTGGTAGTGGTTGTGGCGGATGTGGTAGTACTGGTGGTTGCTCGTGGCCTTGCGCTTGTAAGGGCACAAGTTGCACCGAAAGGTGAGGTCAGCCGGTGCCGTGGCATGGGCCAGCCAAGGGCAGCGCTTCGGGGGCGCACGAGCTCGCTCAAACTCGGATTCATCGAAGGCCTCGATAGTGCCAGTAGAGGCGCAGGTGAAAACGGACGAAGTGCACAGCTCTACCGTGCCTGAGGGCCTTGCCTGGGCCGTGGCCTGTGATGACCTCGCCTGTGGCTCGCCCCTGGGCTTGGGCTGGGAACCATGCAATGCCTTTGCCTTGCACCTGGCACTGAGTGGGCACGGCCGGGGAGGGGCCTGCACCTTTGCCTGCGACGGCACCCGGCTGCCTGGAGACCTTGCCTGTGAAACCTGTGACCTGGGCCGCCTAGCTTGCAAAGAGGGCTGGGCTTCGATCGAGGGCCGCCCCGCCGCACTCCCCGAGGCGCTCGCCGGCATCGAGGTGGTCCAGACGGATGCCGGGCGAGCTTGGGATTTTGCCCCTTCGCCGTCCATGACCGAGGTCCACTGAGAGGATGGCTGGGATCGAACACAGGCAGCAGAGGAGGCAGTGAAGACCGATGGGGGCCCACGGCCACCTGCACGCAGCCCAAAGACGGGTCCAGCTGTGATCTGGGCATACTCACTTGGATACTTCTTGTGACCCTGAGGCGGGAGCATGAGGTCTACGTGGTTATCCTCGTACCACAACACCAGCATCTTGGCAGCTTTGCTATGGAAGGCGTAAGGAGAAAAGTTGAGGCCCGCCGGCAGCACGACGATTTTGATGTCCAGCACACGGCCCAGGGCCCTCAGCTCGACATCCGAGCAGTATGCCCCCTCCTTCTCCATAAGAGTGAGGTAGGCCGAGAAGTCCCGGTCCTTGACCGGCTCACTGTCCGGCCCTTTGCCGTCCCATTCCTTCTCGTACTGGGTAGCGTGCCGGCGCATGTGTTCGACCAATTTGCGCACGGAGCATGCGCGGGTGATTGGGCCGAGAGTCACCAAGCCATTGAAGGCCGAGGCTTAGTGCGTGCAGCACGCAGGCTCCGTCACGAGGGCATGCCTTGAGCTGGAGGTCACCCGGCTTGGTGCGCACCTCCTGCTTGACACGTTTCTGCTGGGGCACTTCCTTGCCGTCCTCGCCCGTAGCCAGCTCCCCCGTGGGAGGTTTTACGATGGTGGTAACGACAGGCTGCTCGAGAGCAACGACCGGGACGGCCTTCGAGGCGAGAGGCTTCTGCTTCTTGGAAACGACACGGAAAGGTGCCAGCGTTGCCCACAAGGACAAGGGCTTCTCCTGATGCTCGACGACGAACGGCACCAGGTCCGTGTCTGCGGTTCCAGGTTGCCCGCGGAAGCGAAAGCAGGACCCGAGGCGGGTGCGCCGGTGCGACAGGATGGTGTACTCAGTGAAGCGTGTGGCCAAGAGCTGGCCGACGGCGTCCGCATCCCACTCGTGGGGCACACCATCGATGTGCCAGATGCGCACCGTTGCTTCTCCAGCCGCCATGGCACTTCGCCACGCCAATCGCCCCCCATTGACGACCAAGCCCAGGCTGGAAGCCTGGCGCAGGGCACGTTCAAAGTAGGCGTCCACCTTCTCGCCGGGAAGCTTCTCGATCCATTGGAGCTTCGCCCGGGGCCCTGAGGTGCGAGCGGCATCCACGAAGACACCGTCCTTGCCAGAGTGGGCCAGGATGCCCTCAATATCTGCCTAATTGAAGCAGAAGAAGAAGGTGACGATCATGAACGACCTCCTGATCCTGAACCCCAAGAACCTCCTATAGAAGAAGTACCAGAGTCCGAGGCAGGACGACCTCCGGACAACGACGAAGGAAAAGGAGTGGGTGAAATTCCATTGGACGGCGACGATGAGGTGATCATTGATGTGGAAGGCGACGGTGCGCCGAGCCGCAAGGCCAGAGTCGGAACACTGAAAGCCGAAGCCAAGACGTTGGCACATCTGTGTACTCATCGCTACCGCAATCCATATTGCGAATCGTGCATACGCGCGAAGATGAAGCACTTGCGGACACAACGAGGTGCGTATGCCAAAGTACTGCTCATGAGTGTCGTTGCGCTGCTTTTCCAGGACCCAGGCAAAAGTGTCGAGCACCTTGATCCTGTGGGCCGCGACCCAGTCTACAGCGGCCTTGGAGGCGTTGCCCCCGAAAGCCTTCCAAGTGTCGGCTGAGGCGAACTGCTTTGGCACCTTAAAGTAGACGACTGCACTTTCAGTGGGTTTGATCTTGATGGACGTTTGGCTCAGGCCGGTGGGCTGCGGAGCATGGCCACTGGCACCTGCAGACGTGAGCTTCTGGACCTTAGCAGTCCTGAAGACCAGGCGATCCCCAATGGTGCCCGGGATGCGCTGGGCCTCCTCATCCTTGGATAGGAAAACAAGCAGGGCCTTGAAGCTCAGCCCGCTCCCCCGCAGAATGTTCGTAGCAAGCGTGACCTGGTCGGCCGAAACAAAAACAACAAGTTCGAGGACCTTGCTGGCATCAGCCTTGTCAATAAACTCAGCTAGGGCAGCGTACTCAACGACCGGGGCGTCCCAATCAGATTTTCGAAGCTTGAAGGCGCCTTCCGGAGCCTTGCGCCGGACGATCTGCCAGCCATCACCGACTTCCTGCCCGCCTGCTTCACCACAGCCGCCCTTGCCCTTGCCCCGGCGTTGACCTGAGTCGCCTGGGCCACCACGCTGGGCCACCTTGGCTGGGCCAGACTTGTCTTCAGGCTTGCCCTTGCCTTTGGCTGCGCTCTGGCGGCCACCAGCACGCTCGCTGCCCGAAGTGTCGGGGTTGCCACCTGGGTGGCTCGTGGCCTGCTTGGCCTTACGTTTCCTCTTGCGCCTGCCCTTTGGCTCAAGCTGCACGTCTGGATCACCGGACGGCCGGGCAGCAGCCAAGCCCCGTCCGAGATTGAGCGACGCCAGGGCCTGCTTTATTGCCTCGTCAACTGCCTTCTGGATCTGCTCCTTGATCGACTTCATGATGCTATCGCCAAGGCTATCCCCAAGGTTGCCAAGGTCAAGGTTGAAGCCAGGCCCAGGGTGAGAGGCCTCGCCCAGGCGGCATCCCCTCTTCCAGTCATGGCACACACAAAGCATCGGCTCGTCTGCAGGGGCCCGGCGGCCTGTCACGCAGCACCTAGGTGCACACTCAAACCCTAGGGGGCCTAGCGGCGCCGGGGCCGGCTGCTGGCGTCGCGGAGGACCTAGAACCCAAGAGGGGAAAGGGGGATGGCATCCAGCACCTCGGTTCGTAGGCTCAGCAGGGCCCGGGTGCGAAGCTTCGCCGAACCTAAACCCCAAATGCCAGTTCCAGGTAATCACTGCTGGTGGGCCTCGCGGACCCGGGTGCTTTGCCTCACCCACACGGACACCTTGCAGGAATGCAAAGCAGCGCTGGAGAGCAGGAAGCCCAACTTGCACACACACCGGGAGGCACGGAAGAGATTGCTGCACAGGCTGCACATGATCCACACTGGCACTAGGATATGCATGCGCTTGGGGCACCGTCCAGATGGGGCCGCCAAGAAAATCCGTGCCACAGCTCTGCTCGATCGCACTGCCACCTTGGGCCGTGGCGCCCAGGGGGCCCCCGAGGAAGTCCACACCTGCCGGTTCGCACGAGGCAGGGGACTGACACTGACACAGGCCGAGAGCTGCAGCACCGAGGCCATGGCGGCAAGGAGAGCTACTCTCGGAGGGGGCCCCGAACGGGCCGGTCTTAGAAAACATGTTACCAAGGAGGCAGGGAGAGGCCGGGCTAGGTGGCTCTTTGTCCTTCCACGGATCTTCTTTGATTTTTCGCGGTTCTCGGGTCGGGCCCTTACGCTACTACATCTGGCCGCCGGCTGCCAAGGAAGAGCAGCGTCGCCATGGTTGGTCGCCTCCACTTCGGGAGGCCCAGCCAGCTCCGCATCCTCCTCAATCTCGCCAGCAGCCGGCTGCGTCACCAGCTCAGCGTCCGCACCAGCACCAGGTCGCCCACCAGAAGGCGGCAGCGCTGCTGCCACTTGCTCCCGGCTGCCCCGCTGGCGATAGGCCTCCGCCGGAGCAAGGCCAAAGTCCCCGTCAGCAAACCACAGGGTAGTGCTTGGGAAATGTCCCATCGCCTGGAGGCGCTCCACCCAAGGGGGGTCGCCATCACACCGCTTTGTCAGCTGCTCGGTCCAGAGAAGAACGAGGGCTTATTTCCAAATTCTGTTTCTATATGTTCCCAAAGAAACAAAATATATTTCTGAGCGAAATATATTTGTTGCGCAAAGTGAGACTCCAGTCAATGTATGTGTCATCGTTGAATATATATAATTCAATGAAACATGCAGCGCCCACTCTCTCTTTTTTAAAGGTCTGGCGAAAGCCGTCGCTCGGGGAAATTCCGAGTAGGTCGAAACGAAGTGAAAGGTTCCCCTCATCGAGCATCCGTGATGCTCCGCATGATGTACATACAGCACATCACGCAATGTGCATTCCAATGCACGCATCGGATAGTCAGCAATTGACTCATCCCGGGGAGGGCGGGCGGGACAAAAATTTTTCGACTGTGATCCGGAAAACTGCGCAGTTCGTTCACATCAAGACATGTTGTAAAGATGTTGCCGCAACTTGCGTGTGAAAAGATTTGCCCGATAAAAGTCGAAACGGAAAAGTGGGAAACAAAGGAAAAACTACAGTTTTTCCTTCAAAAACAAAATCTGGAAATAAAACCCTGTCAATCACGATTGAAGGGTGGCTTATTTCCAAATTCTGTTTCTATATGTTCCCAAAGAAACAAAATATATTTCTGAGCGAAATATATTTGATGCGCAAAGTGAGACTCCAGTCAATGTATGTGTCATCGTTGAATATATATAATTCAATGAAACATGCAGCTCCCACTCTCTCTTTTTTTAAAGGTCTGGCGAAAGCCGTCGCTCGGGGAAGTTCCGAGTAGGTCGAAACGAAGTGAAAGGTTCCCCTCATCGAGCATCCGTGATGCTCCGCATGATGTACATACAGCACATCACGCAATGTGCATTCCAATGCACGCATCGGATAGTCAGCAATTGACTCATCCCCATGGAACCAATGCAGACTTTGCGATGCTCAGCGCATCCACTTCGAAACGCTGACCAAGGCTTTCGTCAGATATTCCTCGAGAGGGATCGTCTGCTATGTTCGATGCGGTATTCACGCGCTCAAACCAAGGTATGCAGCTCGCGGCGTCGATGGCATCATGAGTGGCATCTACGATGCGCATCCCGACTGAGTTGTCTGATGCTCCTTTGATCATGCAGGCACGAGTGCCCTCGTTGTCCGAGAAGACGACAATGTTGCATCCCTTAAGGAGTCCCTTCCATACATGTATGCACATGAGTACCGCCAAACACTCGCACTCGAAGATGGGGTTCTTGCTCTCGGGGCCAACGAGAAGTCGTAGCTCATCAGAGGCCCACACGCTAAAGTGCCCAACTTTCGTTCCATTGTCCGAGATAAGAACTCCTCCAAGACCGATGCGATCGTTGTCACAAGAAGCGTCCACGTATACATGCCAAAGATGCAAGACGTTGGCACTCAGAGCCCTCGGGGGCCCTTCAAGAAATCTGTCCCTCAGGAACAGAAGTGCAGCCCTCAGATTGTCTCCGATGCTCGGGCTTCGTTCCGTAAGATGTTTGGACAGGATCTTGAATGCGATGCCAGCCTTCTTCCCAGCAACCTGGTTGGCGGCAAACTGCAGGCGGCCCCTCAGCCTCTCGCAGTCTTTCCTAGCCAGCACTCCTTTTTCGATGATAGAAGAAAGACTTTCTCTCAGCTCCTCGCGTCGAGTCGTCGTGTTCCTCATGTAGAAGTTGCCGAGGTAGGATTCGCGCAAGTCAAACTCCAGGCCTAAGACTTTTGCCACGCCTCCGAAGATGGTAGGCTTGTCTGGAGACGTGTCCCAGCCAAGGATCTGAAAAAGCGATTCAGCACAAAGGTCAAAGAGCCGTGTAAGTGGCGGGACTTCGTTGCCGACAAAGTCGTCGTAATACACTGACCACATCAAAGCCAGCTGAATCGCCCCAATCGTCCAGATGCCAAGTGAAGTTCTGCAGAACGAGTGGACCGACGCACGAGCGCCGAAGGGCAACACGCACTGCTCGTAGATCTCCGCTTTCCCCGACCGGGGGTTGTACACCGAGAGATAAGCTTCCTCCACCGCCGAAGTGCTCAAAGGAAGATTCTTATACGCCTTGTGTAAGTCATAAGATTTCATCTCGAGCCCGCCGTGCCGTCGGCACTTTGGGTCGCGCTTGAGACGGTAGGCAATGGAAGCGGCGATTGCATCCGCCGTGTGCACAGTCACCGAGTCTTCGGCTGAAGTCGTTGAGTTAACCCCAGAGGCCTTGAAGTCATCTATAGGCCTACACTTGCCGCCCTGCCAAACGCCGAAGCGGCGCGAGAGGACAGCATTAGGACCTAGCGAAGCAGGATCGATGGGTCCTCGTAACCACCCCTTGGCGACCTCCTTGTCAGTGGCCGCCATGAGGGCCTCATCAAGTTCGGGGTCCCCGGAACTTTTGGTGGCGAGAAGAGTTGCTTCCCTCATCACAGCCGCAGAGCTCCGGAGATCAGATACGGATAAGGAAGCAGGTGACAGCTTGGGGCGATATGCAGGATTCCTCGGGATCGCACCACTGAGGTCAAAACCCTTGGCGATGTCATTCGCTATCTCTAGGTCCTCGTGGCCACACTCCTCGAGCATGGTCCTAAAAAGGACCAGCCGCTTCCGCCCCAGGACACGTTTGCAATGTTGCGGCATTGAGTCACGCAACTCCTCTTCCTCGGCCTCCAGCTCACGGGCCTTGCTGATCCAATGCCGGAGCCTCTCGGTGCGTTGGGCTCCTATCTCATGAAGCGACATGTCAGCAAGACGGTCGATGGCCGCCTTGGAATGTGATGGCACACCGTCCAAGAGGTGACGGGGGTGCCCAGCTTTCAGTGCTTGCTCAATGAACTCCTGAGGTTTCCAAGGGATGCCTACGGCCACCTTGTGCATACGGCCACCTTCTGGCATGCTGCAGGACGGGATCCCAGGTGGTGGCTTAGTCAAGGAGCTGGGGCCTAAACCAGACTTACGGGTGGCTGCCTCGGGACCGGCTGTTGGGCAGCACTCTGGGGAGCTTCCAGGGAGGCCGAAACCAAGGTCTACAAGCTGTCTCTTCTGATCGTCAAGAAGTTTGTGGTGATCGCGTATCGCATAGGCAACAAGCGTGATCCTGGGTCCCCCACACCATGGAGCTTGACAGTGCCTACCACTCGGATCAAAGATTATTCGTCGGCCCTCGAAGTCAAGAACATTTCCCAAAAGTTCGGGGTGGCCAGGATCAGGACAAGCGACGGAGCCACTAGGTGATTCGATCCACACTCCCCCTTGCTCGAAAGAGGAAATCTTCAAGACCGCATTCGGTAGTCCTGGCTCGTTGTTTCTATCGGTATGCACCTTGCCTGCGAGGTTCTTGCCCAGCATCAGGGAAGTGAAAGGATGGCCCGGGGCAACCCGGCGCACATACTCGCACAAGAGTTTGCTCACACTGGGGTGCGATGAGGTGTTGGAACGCAGGCCCACCTTGTTGGCATGAAAGAAGGCACCACATGACCAGGAGAATTCATCAGTGCCTCGTCCGCCCCTAGACGGGGTATCCGAGACAAGTAGCTCACACAAGTGGCAAATGCAGTCGCGCCATGCTTCGTTGCTGGCTGACGCTCCCAAGTGGAGAGCATAATGCGAGAAAGCTTCGGGGTCCATCTGGTCGTCCTCCATGATGGCTGAGTTTCCATCATCCTCCGCCTCGGCATTAGGGGCAACTGTGGGATGCGACACAGGTGTGGATGAGGCGGCTGAGTTACTTGAGCACGATTCCTGCGCTCCAGCTGGCACAACCCCAATGACACTCTGGCGCAGGATCCGAGTGCCCGCGGGAAGCGTCGGCAGTGAGGGCGAGCATGAGACACAAGGTGGAAGGGGGGTATCGGCTTCCAACTTACGCACGCCGGGAAAGAGGGGTTCAGGACTAAGAAGAACCACAATCTGCCGAAACTCGGGCACAAGGGGTGGCACGCGCTTGCTGCGAGGTTGCACACCAGCTGCAACCTGAGACTCACGCAGGGGAAGGGCAGCACCAGGCGCAAGGTATGAAGCGGGTGCAGGGTGGCCACGTTCGGCGGCAGCACGGACAATGATGTCGGCCATACGTTGGCAGAGCACACGAGGGTAGACCTTCTCGGCGGCTGTGTCGAAGGCACCTGAGGATCGCGACCAGGGCAGGTGGCGATGAGATGTTGATTCCCCCGGGCAGAGAAGGGATAGCTCGTGTAGCAAAGGGACATTATGGGCTAGGCGGGTGAGCTTGGCACGCTCACCGCCGTGTTGGCAGTTATGAAAAAGGGTTTCCTCAAACTGCAGGTCGGCAACGGCAGTGAGCCACATGGTCGTTTGCCATAAGTAAGAGCGGCCTGGATTCTCGCAAGAGACGAGCTTCCCAGAACGGATGCAGTGTGCAAAGATCTTGCCAGTGACGGCATAAAGGTCGTTGGCCTTAGCAACGCGAATGCGGAGCTCGCCAGTGAGGTCTGGTAGCCCATCCGGGTGGGCATCACTTCTCGCTGGAGCGGGTAGGTTTTCACCGCGACGAAAAATTTCACGAGCACGACTCGCTGTTCCACAAGGGGGAGCGATGTGCACATAAAGGCAAAAGGGAGAATCGATCAGATCAAGAACCATCTTTACATGTTCGGGATCAAGGAGGTCCAGCTTAAGGACGGGAGAAATCATTTGCTTTGGGGCAACATGGTCGATTCCGATGCTATCTCGGAACCCTGCACGTCGAAGTTCGGCAGTAAGCCTGCCTGAGCCTGAGAAAATTTCAATGCAGAAGAGGGAATCAATCCTGAAAGCATCAGCACCGCAAAGAGAGTGCCCGGCATCAAGTAGCGGCCCCTCCACAGGGCTCGCAGCCTCAGCAGGACGAGAAGGAAAACAATGCGATTTGCTGGAAGCAGCGGCCGATGCTTGCGGGGTTGAGGCGCTCAGTGAAGCATCCAATGAAACACTGGGCGATGGAAAACACGGTGCTGGCACGCTGTCGGGCTCAGGCAGGCATGCGCTTCATGGCTTCTTTGGACACGCATGCGCGGGGTGGTGACCGCCACAACGCATGCAGTTGTGCAGACCCCTGGGGCAGGATTGGCCGACCTTGGCATTAGGACACCCACTAGCCATATTGAATCCCCAGCAGCGGCGCTTTCCGGTCTTAGTCCAAGACGAAAGGCCCTTGAGTTCTTCGGGAAGATTGCTAGGCTCACGCAATGTCTTGGTTTTTCCCTTGCCGGTACCTTTGCGCTGCTTCTTGGTCGGGGTGTCTGTGGGCTCAGGTTTGAGCTCGGTGCTCTCCCGCTTGAGGGCACCACCTTCTCCCGGGAGGAGATGAAAAATCACCTTCGGGTCAGTCTGCAAGCGGGCCCACAAACTGTCAAGAGGCAAAGCCCCGGCTGCATCTCGACGAATCCCGTCGGGGGTAAGCTCTGCCAGGCGCATCCAGGCAGCACGGTCCGCATGCAGAATTTGTTGCACAGAAGTGGCACGGCTGCCAGCAATGGGCTCCTGATGAAGGTGGCCCAAGAGGAAATCCACGAAGCCCTGAACCCTAAAGTAATCAGTCACACCGATCAAGTCAAGAGCAAGGCTTCGACGGTGCATGGCATGGTGAAGGCTCAGTGCAGTGGAAGTATCGCATGACTGATCGGGGTCACGATCTCTCACGACCAGTGTTGAAGCCTGTACATCCAACTCCTTCCGCGGTTTCTCGGAACGCAGCTCAGCTTCACGAGTGATGAACTTGGCCGGGGAAAGGTAGCTGATGCAGTTATCAGTAAGGAGCTTCATGCAGAGGTCATACGAGGCGTAGCTGCACTCAGTCTGGCCAGACATGGTGATGCCTCTAAGTTTGTTGGCCTGTGCTCGGATGCGCTCGCGGCGCTCCGCGGGGGCTAACTCCTTGACCTCGTTCTCCTTGTTCTCAACGAGTGCCTTGGTCTGGCTGACCAAGAGGGTCTGTGCTTCGAACACCAGGTGTCGAACCGCTGCGATGGATCCCAACGGCGGGGCTGCACCTCCCACCTTGATGAGGGCCGACAACGACTCCTCGGTCGGCGTCTCGCCGGGCTGGCAAGGGGCGAACGCCAGCTTCGCCATCGTGTCGATGGTCTGTGCAACAAGGCGATCCACTGCTTCCTGAGGGAGGCCCACACGTTTGGCTCGCTCCAGGAAGACTGCCTTGGACTCTACAAGGGTTTGCGCCATGATCTCCGATCCTATGTGCACTCACAGAAACTGGTCTTGAGACACGCACATGCAAAGGACCAATCATGCACACAGTGATTGCAAGCTTTGCATGTGGACAACGCACTGCTGGTCATCATCGCATCGCCGAGCTTGGTCCGCCCGTCCGGACCCCGTGGCGGCCACGAGGTAAACCAAAGGTTCCACTGAAACCCTTGTTTGCCCGGACGAGTCTCCGAACCATGCTCTGGGTCGGTGCGCAATTGACCACTCGTCCATCAGACATGACTGTGAAGCTCAGCGATACACTGAAGTGGTGATCCGCAAGCATCGCACGTCACACGACATTTCTCACTTAGAAGCGCCCTGCTTCTTAGCGATGAAACTCGCCATGGCCCCTGCGTCGCGGAGGGGCCGGCCTGCTGTGCATTGCTTGCACAGCCATCTACTGCTGAAGACCTTTCCACTGAAAGGCTTCATATTGTCAAGCGACCTTCCACAGATCAACTTGCCAGTAGAACCCTTCGCTCGTGAGTGAAGGCTCTTGGTCTTCGGGTTCTGAAAAATGTCTAAATCAGGGCCCATGTTCACAGACGGGATCGCATTCTGCGCTTCGCCTGCTCCAAAACTCTCATAATGAGTCTCCTCCTCGGACTCACCGGAACTCTCAGACTCGCTGCTCGAGGCTTCGTGAACGTCTTCTTGTTCACCCAGGTCCTGATCATCAGGAGGTTCTACGCCTCCATCCTCGGCCAGCTCAACCTCGGGAGCGCACTCGAAGCTCTCGTGAGATGGCGAAAGATTGGCACGACCCAAGGGTGCCAAAGAGAATCGCGACTCACGGATGGTCGCACCTCCTGCAATCATCCCGCTCTTCGTGCGATCCGGATGGAAAACCCCCTGCCGGATGGCACCAAGACATTCTGCAAGATCTCGTAGCGGCTGCGCCTGCACTTCGCGAGCGTAAGCTTCTTGCGTTTTCCCACTTGGACCTAAGCTATGGTGTCCCAGGACAAGTTGCGTCCTCTCACTGTATCCAGCCTTCGAGGTCCAAGAAAGCGGCGTTGCCTTCAAGCCGTGCGAGGAGAATGTAAGATCTTCTTCGGCCGCTTGCAGCCGTGAAAGCAACGCCCTGATCCATGTAGTGGTCTCGTTGGCATCGATGGCATCCCCGCTCCAAGAGTAATCGCAGGCCAGGCGGGGGAGCAACGGCCCGCGATGCCCCTTCTCGAAGTCGAAGCCAACGGCCTTCGCCGCCTCTGCCCAAGCGGCGCCCCAAGGCTTCTGGTGGAGCCCATGGTACGGCGCAACCAAAATGAGCACGGCCCCCGGTCCACTGCTCAACCGGCAATTCTTGTGCTCATAAGTTCTGACCTCGATGAAACCCGTATCGCCATCAAGGTCAAGCTCAAGCTTCGAAATGTTCCTCAGATCGGACACTCGAGCCCTGGAGTAAAGCTGGAACAAGAAAACCCCTGTAGCGTACCTGTCCACCTTGTCAAGGGCTCCCTCTATCAGCGCTCCTTCGAGGAGGAGCACCTCCTCGACCTTCAGGACTCTCGAACGTCTCGGGTCACAGGTGCGAATGTTGGCTCCCCGCAGCGCACCCTTGACCCAAGGGTTGTCACTGATTCCTTGTTCGACCTCAATTCCGAGAACATGTTCCAGGAATTCACAGTTTCCATAGCCTCACGAATGGCACTGTTCCTGGCTTCGGCTGCAAGTGGTTTGAGGAAGCTCACAAGAAACTCGAGGCTCACCGGGAAAGCCTTCACATGATGCTTGTCGGCCCAACAAATGAATCGTGCAGAAAATCGGGCTCGCTTAAGCAAAGTCGATGTTGCTTTCCCAGCCAAGGCCTGCGCCACGACCCCCAAGGGGTCAGATTCGCCTTTCGCCCAAATGAGAACCCCCAACCTCGAGGCACCAGGTGAGTGACTCAGAACACAGAGCCACCGACGTAGGACATTTTCTCGATCGACACCGGCCTTCTCGCCTGCCTGTAGCCTGGGCTTCTTAAGCACAGCCTCAAAGACGGGCACAACCTTGGTACACTGCAGAGCCACCGGCAGCGGCTCGTCTGAATCACCCGGCCGCCTGTACTGCGTGGCTGGCGGCGGCACGACTCTTGGCACCTTGACGCTATGAAGGTCGACGCTTCTGCCTGGTTTTCCTGAGAAAATGGCAGACAAGGCCTTATTCCTGTCCCACGGATAGCTGAGTGGGGCCACAACATCATGAGTCAAGTGCTGGAGGTGTTGCTCGAAACGATCACATAGATCGGAGGCCGAAGCTTCAGCAGCCATCGAAGAGACCCCACGAGCCAAGGCCCTGAAGCGAGGCCGTGCTCACGGCAGGGGCTGCAGACCAGCCCTAATTGCAACGAAGAGGATTTCCTGCAAGAAATCGCTGCGAGTGGAAGCACTCGAAGCCAGCAGAGCTGATCTAGCAGCAGGATCAAGGAAGTTCCACAGCGTAATCGTCACTCGCACTTTGCACACGGGTCCCGATGCAAAGACGCAATCAAAACTAAGATCGCTAAAGTGACCTCGTAGTCCATGTAGCGACCCGCCCCACTCGCTAGAAGCACCAGATTAGCACCCAGGGCCTTTTAGAAAGATCCTAGACGTGTCTACCGGGTGGCCTGCCACACCTACCAGTGCTCACTCCCCTTGCAGCGAGAGCAAGCCCTCAAGCCACTATTCCGTCGGGGGAACCCTGGCAACGGTGTGCGGCACCACAGCAGAAGGATCTCGAGGCTCACACAAAAATTTTTCGACTGTGATCCGGAAAACTGCGCAGTTCGTTCACATCAAGACATGTTGTAAAGATGTTGCCGCAACTTGCGTGTGAAAAGATTTGCCCGATAAAAGTCGAAACGGAAAAGTGGGAAACAAAGGAAAAACTACAGTTTTTCCTTCAAAAACAAAATCTGGAAATAAAACCCTGTCAATCACGATTGAAGGGTGGCTTCACGTACACGAAAGAGCTCATCCACAAGCACAGCCGATCCCACAACTGCACTTGCGTCCTCATTGAGCCTTTCCAGGAAGTCTTCGATGGAAGCATGCTCACCCTCAAGCATAGCTTTGAGAACATAGTTGCGCGGCGCAACTCCCCTGAACTTTCTGTAGCTGACAGGTAGGGTCAGCTGAGTACTCGACGTCGCGGCCTCCATGGCCGCCAAATCCATCATCCTTTTCCGCTCAGCACCCACAGCGCCCCCCGAGGAAGGAGCCATGGCACAGTCGAGACAGACTTAGCCACCGAGCCTACCTACGGTGTTGTCCAGCTTGGAACTCGCGGAGTTCCTGTCTCGGGCCCAAGCTGCGTGTTCTCACGCCTAACTGCGGTTCAGGCAAGATTCGGGCATCGCAACGAAGTCCCGATCTGCGCGTCCAGTAACGTCTTTGGTTGTCGGTTGTGAGACCGAACCTAAAAGGTCAAACATGAAGCTGACAAGCAGAGGACATGTGACAGCTGTACAATCCAAGGTGCTTGAAGCTGAGGCATGAAAGACCAAACAAACTAGAGTCGTTGAGGCCATATTAGCCGAAACATGGGAAACTAAGGCTCAGGAGAGCCGAGAAGAAAAGTGAGCCTTTGGCTCGGGTTTGCTAAAAGGAGAGGTGCAGGGCTACACAGCAAGCACAAACTGCCTAGCGAGAGCCTAAGCAGCATCGAAGTGACGTGCGGAGCAGCTGTACGCCTCTACGGCTTCAGATAGACTCGACGTAGGAACTCAGAGGGACACAGCAGCGCGCCTCAGCCAGCAGCCCACGCCCCGCAGCACGCCACCGCAGCCAGCAGCCAGCGGCGGCAGCCAGAAGAAGCGGTGCAGCACGTAGTTCCCCGAGGGAGCCACCGTAGAAGCCGTCAACGATGCAAATGTTCAGTGTCGTAGCGAGTTTCACGGATCATCTTGAATGATACGGGCCGGCCGCCTCGCACGAAGGTGCTGCGCCAAGACATTGGAGGCACCAGCAGAAGCCAAGATGGCCCCCCGCTCCCAAAGCGCTGCACGATGAAGCTCTGCATGCCAGCTCACCCTGCCCGATCCACGAGCCCGGTGCTCGCGAATGCTGTTGGCAGCCGCATCGGCCCGTTCGTTGAGGTCCCTGCAGCGGGCGGCCGTTAGGCCCCAGGGAGCAGTCCAGTTGGGCCGCCGACCATGTGCAGGAGTCCACGAAAGCTTCAGGTCCAAGCCACCGGCACGCACATCACGCAGTAGCCTCGCAGCCTTGTGAGCCAGGAGAGGCATGGAGCACGCCTCAGGTTGAGCCACAGCCTGAAGAGCAGAGCTGCAATCCACCAGGATGCCAACCTGACAGCCTGGGGCCAACTGCGCACGAGAGATCGCCTCGAAGAGGGTCGTCAAAGTGAGGAGCTCACATCGGAAAGCCGACTGGTCTTCACAGGCATCACCGAAGACGAAGGTGCCATCGCCGCTTCCGAAGATCACGGCGCAGCCGCCGACATCAAACTTAGCACTGCCATCGGTCGCGATGAGCAGACGCTCGCCCACAGTAGCGAAGTTGCGAAGATGCGCCACAATGCTCTGAAGGGTGTTTTCAAAGTCCGAAGCTGCAGGAGCTGCAGGGTACTCAGTGATTTTGGCCGCAAAGAGCCGTTCACCAGCACGGGTGGAAGGAGGTGCGAGACCTTGCCGCAATCCCGTCGTTGAGGAGCAACACCAGGTGAGATGCGCTCGGCTGGGCTGCAAGAGGCCACAAACACACGCCGTGGTGTCGGGTGAGCTCATCTCCAGCCGTTTGCAGTGGTACCAGATGGAGCCGCCCGAGCCCAGTGCTGCAAGGCGAACTTCACGTGTAGGCTCAGCCGCAACTGCGAGTCGGTGGCCTTCGAGCGCAAAGCGGGCACTGCGGAGTGGGGCCCCCAAGCTGAGGCCACGGGCCAGGGTCGCATCATCACGATGGCGGCAATTTCGGATCCGCCCACAGGCGTGCACGCCCCGCCACTTGTAGTGGTCCACCAGCCAGCGCTTGACCACATCAAAGGATTCCCAGCCAAGGTGGCACTGACGGAGGGTACCGGAATCGTCGAGTCGCGCCAGGGTGGCGCCGTTGCCATGGACCTTCCAGCCTAACCTCTGCACAACCGCCGCCGCACCAGGGAGGAAGCGACGCCAGTCACCACAAGCAACATCAAGCCCAGCCGTGTCGAGCCATGCCGGGGGCCGAGCCTTGAAACGCCAGGCAGCCCGCAGGGATGCCCAGTCCGCCGCCCATTCAGGGTCCAAACTCCAGCCAAAAGAGGCACACAGCAAGACTTTAGGAGACTCGAAGGTGGCGTGCTTTTGCAGGACAGCACAAGTGGAGTGCCAGACGTCGCGCAAGCAGTCGCGGTCCGGGCAGGCGACACCACCAGCCCAAAACATGGCCGAGTGGATCAGCTGCAGCACGATGCGACGGAGCTGGGGCACCTCCCCTCCCAGGAGCTTGAGGAAGCGAAGGCGATGCAGGAGCAAGCGCGGGCTAAACTTAAGGAGCCCCAGGGCACCCTCCTGCATGTCGAGGGTGATGCCCAGCACCTTTAAAGTAGTCACGCGTGGGTAGCTCCTGGCACTGGCCCACTGATCGAAAGTCCTGACATCGGGTGGACACACCACAGCACACTTGCTGGCACGGCACTGGAAACCGAAGGCTTGGTCGAAGGAGTCAGAAGCCCTCAATGCCACATCCATTGCCCCAAGAGGGTCCGCACACGTGCAGGAAGGCCACAACACCCGGTCGTCTATAAAGATGAGGCAGTCGGTGCGTCCCTTGGCAAAGGACTGGACCCACATGGCCCAGATATGGCCGACCGCAACCGCGGCCATTGGAGAGAGTGGGCATCCCTGCGCCAGGCCCCGCGCCGGGCTGCCCCATGCACTGCTGGACCGGCCCTCGTGCAGAAAGAGCCTCGAGGCATCCTGGTAGAAGGAGGCTAAGAGCTCAGCGAGGCCAGCAGGAGCACCAAGGTGCCGGAGCACCATACCCACCGCCTGGACATCAAGAGAGTCGAAGAACCGCGTGAGGTCCTGCTGGCAAAAGACTTTGCCGCCGCTCTGCCACGCATGAAAGAGCCGGGCATGAGCGTCACCCGGACCTCGACATGGTGCACCGCCCAAGGTGTGGTGGCCCAGCCATGTGTCCATCCACGGCAGCACATTGCGAGAGATGCAGTGGGCACCAGCTCGCCAGATGACAGGGCACAAGGCGATCGGTCGGTATTCATCCAGGCGCTTCGGCACCAGGGCAATCAGTGCCCGGCGCCAGAGTCGAGGAACGTACTTCGTGGAGAGCACCGCATTCCACAGAGTGGCCGCCGCTTCCCACCACTGCACTGGGAGGCGGAGCAGAAGCTCCGCTGACCATCGGTCAGGGCCCATCGCTTTCCCCCGCATTGCCTTGGTGGCCCGCATCAGAGCCTCAGCCTCAACCTGGAGCACAATGTCCGATTGCGGCCCGCCCGGGACACGGTCAAGGATGCGCTGCACGGCATCGAAGTTGACAGGGGACTCCGGCTTCCAGTGCTGCAGCCACACTTTACCATGTTCCTCGACAATAGAGGCAGGGTGAACAGAGGAAGGGACACCAGCATGGGCCTGAGGAGATTGCTCCATGGCCAACTGATGGTCAGCTTTGCGCTTGACCCAGGCGAGGGCACGAGAAGGATCCTCCTCAACACGGCGACGCCACCTGTGCACTCTGGCCTCCGTCTCCTGCTGCTGAAGCTCGGCATGCAAATGAGAGATCACCTGGGTGGCACCTGCAAGGTTGGCAGCATGTATCACAGGGAGGTCGGGGAAAGTGGCACGCAGGAGCCCAGCCCGGCGGCCCACCGCACGCCACAGCTTCTGACAGTGGGGCTGTTGCCGCAGTTGGTGCAATTGCCCAAGCAACTTGCGAGATGAACGGAGGGACTGGGACTCATGACCCTGGGGGCCGACACGATGGTGGGACTCGTGGCGGGCACAAGGGAGCCAGTGGTCGCTCCTGCGGGCACCAGAGGCATCGAAGAGCGAAGTGGCACCCAGCGTGCGCTCGGCCACGTCTGACAAGAAGGCCCAGGCTTCATCAAGAGCCCCACCTGCAATAGAACTCTCAAAGTGTGCGGCATCCCAGACCCTACCAAAGTTAGACAGGATGTCTTCAGTGGCCGTGGCAGGGAGCTCACGAAACTTAGGCATGGAGAAGCTGTCGGCACGGCTCAGGCACCGCGTCTCGTAGAAGACACACCCGTGGTCCGAAAGGTGCGGGCGTTCGAACTGCTTGACAGCCGTCGCAATGATTGACCAATGGGCCAGGCCAAAATCAATGCGCCGGGTGCGCGTGGGATTTGTTGGGCCGGCTTGGGTCCAGTCCGCCTCATCCAGAGACCGGAGCTCGCCATCGCACAACAGCTGCACCACAGCTTGCTCAGACTGGTCAACATTGAAATCGCCGAGCAAGATGTAGGGGCCGCCGAAGGTCGCAGCTGCACGCCTAACCTCACCTAAGGCCTGGGCTGTGGCAGCTGGCTGACCAGGGAAACCGTAGAAGGCCACCACAAGGGTGATGCACTTGCTGCCAGCAGCCTGCATCTCAAAAGCACCTGCAGCACAGCGCGCAGCCACATGCGGAGGAAGCTTAAGGTTCACACGATGCATGGGGAGGGAGGCGACCAAGGCCACCCTATGCACACCCTTGGCAGCATCAATGTCGCTGAGAACAGCCCGATAGCCATGGGCACGCCAGCGCTCACCAAAACCCTGGGCCGACAAAGGGTTGATGTCAGCCTCCTGAAGAGACAAGAGCTCAGCCCCACACGACTGGAGGAAGTCGGCACACAGGTCCACTTTGGAGATGGCCGTGCGGTTCGCATTGATGCTCAAAAGCTTGATGAACACGGCGAGGAGGGGATTCGCATGGAGATGGCAAGCTTGGCAGCCGCGGCAGCACGGAGCACCTGGGAGCAGAAGTCGGGATCACCTCCGGCACGCCGGGCCCACGCCTCGATGGCATCAAGTTTTTGGATCCGCTTCTGGGTGTTGCTCTGCGACTTGCACCGGCCCTCGCTATGCTGCTTGGCGGCAGCCAGGTCCCTGGTGCACTCACCGCACCGGAGGCACTTCCAACCATGCTCAAGGAGGACATGCTTGACCCGGGTGCTGCGTTTCTCACACCTGGCTCGAGGCCACACAAAGAGCTGCATCTGGTCCCCAAAGCGAGGGGTCCTGACTTGAGCGAACACGGCCTTGGTGAGGTTGCGCTGGCGGCACCCTTTGGCATGCACCTGGCGATCCTTGGGCCCGGTTTGCGGGAGTGCCGCAAGACGCTGCCACTCAGCCTTGGAGACCTCGGGGTGGGCCTGTGCACGATGCTGGTTGCGTAGGGCATAGTAGGAGAATCGAGAAAGGTCCTTCCGAGTCTCGTGCGTGATGCCCTTGTTGCAGAAAGGGCAACACCAGATGAAACGAGCCCTTGGGCCGCAGACCCGCGTGAGCTTGGGTCGCCCGATGTCCGGCTGCAGGCCCTGCCCCTCATGGGCACGCTGGTAGTGGTTGTGGCGGAGGTGGTAGTACTGGTGGTTGCTCGTGGCCTTGCGCTTGTAAGGGCACAAGTTGCACCGAAAGGTGAGGTCAGCCGGTGCCGTGGCATGGGCCAGCCAAGGGCAGCGCTTCGGGGGCGCACGAGCTCGCTCAAACTCGGATTCATCGAAGGCCTCGATAGTGCCAGTAGAGGTGCAGGTGAAAACGGACGAAGTGCACAGCTCTACCGCCTTGCGCTTGGTGCCTGAGGGCCTTGCCTGGGCCGTGGCCTGTGATGACCTCGCCTGTGGCTCGCCCCTGGGCTTGGTCTGGGAACCATGCAATGCCTTTGCCTTGCACCTGGCACTGAGTGGGCACGGCCGGGAAGGGGCCTGCACCTTCGGCTGCCTGAAGACCTTGCCTGTGAAACCTGTGACCTGGGCCGCCTACCTTGCAAAGAGGGCTGGGCTTCGATCGAGGGCCGCCCCGCCGCACTCCCCGAGGCGCTCGCCGGCATCGAGGTGGTCCAGACGGATGCCGGGCGAGCTTGGGATTTTGCCCCTTCGCCGTCCATGACCGAGGTCCACTGAGAGGATGGCTGGGATCGAACACAGGCAGCAGAGGAGGCAGTGAAGACCGATGGGGGCCCACGGCCACCTGCACGCAGCCCAAAGACGGGTCCAGCTGTGATCTGGGCATACTCACTGGGATACTTCTTGTGACCCTCAGGCGGGAGCATGAGATCTACGTGGTTATCCTCGTACCACAACACCAGCATCTTGGCAGCTTTGCTATGAAAAGCGTAAGGAGAAAAGTTGAGGCCCGCCGGCAGCACGACGATTTTGATGTCCAGCACACGGCCCAGGGCCCTCAGCTCGACATCCGAGCAGTACGCCCCCTCCTTCTCCATAAGAGTGAGGTAGGCCGAGAAGTCCCGGTCCTTGACCGGCTCACTGTCCGGCCCTTTGCCGTCCCATTCCTTCTCGTACTGGGTGGCGTGCCGGCGCATGTGTTCGACCATTTGCGCACGGAGCATGCGCGGGTGATTGGGCCGAGAGTCACCAAGCCATTGAAGGCCGAGGCTTATTGCGTGCAGCACGCAGGCTCCGTCACGAGGGCATGCCTTGAGCTGGAGGTCACCTGGCTTGGTGCGCACCTCCTGCTTGACACGTTTCTGCTGGGGCACTTCCTTGCCGTCCTCGCCCGTAGCCAGCTCCCCCGTGGGAGGTTTGACGATGGTGGCAACGACAGGCTGCTCGAGAGCAACGACCGGGACGGCCTTCGAGGCGAGAGGCTTCTGCTTCTTGGAAACGACACGGAAAGGTGCCAGCGTTGCCCACAAGGACAAGGGCTTCTCCTGATGCTCGACGACGAACGGCACCAGGTCCGTGTCTGCGGTTCCAGGTTGCCCGCGGAAGCGAAAGCAGGACCCGAGGCGGGTGCGCCGATGCGACAGGATGGTGTACTCAGTGAAGCGTGTGGCCAAGAGCTGGCCGACGGCATCCGCATCCCACTCGTGGGGCACACCATCGATGCGCCAGATGCGCACCGTTGCTTCTCCAGCCGCCATGGCACTTCGCCACGCCAATCGCCCCCCATTGACGACCAAGCCCAGGCTGGAAGCCTGGCGCAGGGCACGTTCAAAGTAGGCGTCCACCTTCTCGCCGGGAAGCTTCTCGATCCATTGGAGCTTCGCCCGGGGCCCTGAGGTGCGAGCGGCATCCACGAAGACACCGTCCTTGCCAGAGTGGGCCAGGATGCCCTCAATATCTGCCTTCGGAATGCGAACGATGCCAAAGTACTGCTCATGAGTGTCGTTGCGCTGCTTTTCCAGGACCCAGGCAAAAGTGTCGAGCACCTTGATCCTTTGGGCCGCGACCCAGTCTACAGCGGCCTTGGAGGCGTTGCCCCCGAAAGCCTTCCAAGTGTCGGCTGAGGCGAACTGCTTTGGCACCTTAAAGTAGACGACTGCACTTTCAGTGGGTTTGATCTTGATGGACGTTTGGCTCAGGCCGGTGGGCTGCGGAGCATGGCCACTGGCACCTGCAGACGTGAGCTTCTGGACCTTAGCAGTCCTGAAGACCAGGCGATCCCCAATGGTGCCCGGGATGCGCTGGGCCTCCTCATCCTTGGATAGGAAAACAAGCAGGGCCTTGAAGCTCAGCCCGCTCCCCCGCAGAATGTTCGTAGCAAGCGTGACCTGGTCGGCCGAAACAAAGACTACAAGTTCGAGGACCTTGCTGGCATCAGCCTTGTCAATGAACTCAGCTAGGGCAGCGTACTCGACGACCGGAGCGTCCCAATCAGATTTTCGAAGCTTGAAGGCGCCTTCCGGAGCCTTGCGCCGGACGATCTGCCAGCCATCACCGGCTTCCTGCCCGCCTGCCTCACCACAGCCGCCCTTGCCCTTGCCCCGGCGTTGACCTGAGTCGCCTGGGCCACCGCGCTGGGCCACCTTGGCTGGGCCAGACTTGTCTTCAGGCTTGCCCTTGCCTTTGGCTGCGCTCTGGCGGCCACCTGCACGCTCGCTGCCCGAAACGTCGGGGTTGCCACCTGGGTGGCTCGTGGCCTGCTTGGCCTTACGTTTCCTCTTGCGCCTGCCCTTTGGCTCGAGCTGCACGTCTGGATCGCCGGACGGCCGGGCAGCAGCCAAGCCCCGGCCGAGATTGAGCGACGCCAGGGCCTGCTTTACTGCCTCGTCAACTGCCTTCTGGATCTGCTCCTTGATCGACTTCATGATGCTATCGCCAAGGCTATCCCCAAGGTTGCCAAGGTCAAGGTTGAAGCCAGGCCCAGGGTGAGAGGCCTCGCCCAGGCGGCATCCCCTCTTCCAGTCATGGCACACAGAAAGCATCGGCTCGCCTGCAGATGCCCGGCGGCCTGTCACGCAACACCTAGGTGCACACTCAAACCCTAGGGGGCCTAGCGGCACCGGGGCCGGCTGCTGGCGTCGCGGAGGACCTAGAACCCAAGAGGGAAAAGGGGGATGGCATCCAGCACCTCGGTTCGTGGGCTCAGCAGGGCCCGGGTGCGAAGCTTCGCCGAACCTAAACCCCAAATGCCAGTTCCAGGTAATCACTGCTGGTGGGCCTCGCGGACCCGGGTGCTTTGCCTCACCCACACGGACACCTTGCAGGAATGCAAAGCAGCGCTGGAGAGCAGGAAGCCCAAATTGCACACACACCGGGAGGCACGGAAGGGATTGCTGCACAGGCTGCACATGATCCACACTGGCACTAGGATATGCATGCGCTTGCGGCACCGTCCAGATGGGGCCGCCAAGAAAATCCGTTCCACAGCTCTGCTCGATCGCACTGCCACCTTGGGCCGTGGCGCCCAGGGGGCCCCCGAGGAAGTCCACACCTGCCGGTTCGCAAGAGGCAGGGACTGACACTGACACAGGCCGAGAGCTGCAGCACCGAGGCCATGGCGGCAAGGAGAGCTACTCTCGGAGGGGGCCCCGAACGGGCCGGTCTTAGAAAACATGTTACCAAGGAGGCAGGGAGCGGGAGAGGCCGGGCTAGGTGGCTCTTTGTCCTTCCACGGATCTTCTTTGATTTTTCGCGGTTCTCGGGTCGGGGCCCTTACGCTAATACATCTGGTCGCCGGCTGCAAAGGAAGAGCAGCGTCGCCATGGTTGGTCGCCTCCACTTCGGGAGGCCCAGCCAACTCCGCATCCTCCTCAATCTCGCCAGCAGCCGGCTGCGTCACCAGCTCAGCGTCCGCCCCAGCACCAGGTCGCCCACCAGAAGGCGGCAGCGCTGCTGCCACTTGCTCCCGGCTGCCCCGCTGCTGCTGGACACTTGCATCGCGATAGGCCTCCGCCGGAGCAAGGCCAAAGTCCCCGTCAGCAAACCACAGGGTAGTGCTTGGGAAATGTCCCATCGCCTGGAGGCGCTCCACCCAAGGGGGGTCGCCATCACACCGCTTTGTCAGCTGCTCGGTCCAGAGAAGAACGAGGGCTTCACGTACACGAAATAGCTCATCCACAAGCACAGCCGATCCCACAACTGCACTTGCATCCTCATTGAGCCTTTCCAGGAAGTCTTCGATAGAAGCATGCTCACCCTCAAGCATAGCTTTGAGAACATAGTTGCGCGGCGCAACTCCCCTGAACTTTCTGTAGCTGACAGGTAGGGTCAGCTGAGTACTCGACGTCGCGGCCTCCATGGCCGCCAAATCCATCATCCTTTTCCGCTCAGCACCCACAACGCCTCCCGAGGAAGGAGCCATGGCACAGTCGAGACAGACTTAGCCACCGAGCCTACCTACGGTGTTGTCCAGCTTGGAACTCGCGGAGTTCCTGTCTCGGGCCCAAGCTGCGTGTTCTCACGCCTTGAGCCGAACCTTTTGAGCCTTGAGGGTTGAGGACAGGGTTTAAGGGAAAATCAGACTTCGCAGGAAAATCAAAGCTTCTAAACTCTCATGCGCAATAGCAGAAGCTCCACGCCAATGCAAATGTCGTGAGAGGAAGAATCAGCAGTCCATCAATCTCAAGCTTGAAGCGTCACACAAAAGATGCCGGTCAGGAAGTCAGATGTTTTCACTCGGTGCGTCGAACTGATCCTCGTCGGCTGAAGCAATGCGCCACATGTTCACATGACGGTCGCAGATGCCTCACTTCCCCCCCCGTAGGAAGGCAGCAAGGCCGTCAGTTCAAGCCATCACCAAGGTGTTTTGCTCTGCTCCTTCTCACGACGCGACATCGAAGTCTCTCTTGATACCAGGTGTTGTAAGCTGACGCGTGCATTCACGAAGGCCTCCCTGGAATGAATCATCCGAAGGAAAATGTCAAGCGGCAGATCGTCAAGCTTCAAGGGAACCCTCAGCTCCGGACAGAAACTCGAGAAATCGTGATTGGTGATAGCGTCAGACAAGGTGTTCTCATCCCTCGGCCTCCACTGCAGTGTGAGCTGCTTGTTCACCTTGTGTAGAGCCGCTGCACATGCCATCTGAATGCCCATCAGCGGCCACTTAGTGCTCGAGCCCTTCTTCTGCAGCTTGCCAGTCGAAGAATTGTCTGTCCCCCCGCAAATCATAGTCCTTATGTTGTCGTGCACTCCCGACGTCTCCTTTTCCAGGTGATCAAAAACTTTCAACGCAGCAAGCGAGGCCAGCAACTCTGCACTCGTCGATGCCCATTGGCTATCGCCGTCATCTTTGAAAAGGCAAGGCAGATCCTGTTGCGACACATCGAGGCAGAACCAGCGTGCAACTGACGGGTCCGTCCCATTCTCAAGCGAGTAGCCCCCGAGCACCACCAAGCCGTTTGTGCATTTTGCATCCGTCCTGAAACTCTCGCGCGGCGCCCGCCAATCCTGGAGCACACTGTGGAGTCCCCTGGACTCCGCAAGCTGTTCCCTGATATAAACAAGCGACACGAAGACCATCTCCGGGATCCTCGCCACAGTCCCCTTCTGCAAGACGGCATCGAAAGCATACAGCGGTGCAAGGAAAGGCTTGACCCATGTCAACACTCTGGAAACGAAGTTGAGCCGTCCAAGGAATTCCGCGAAGCGCCGACCTGTGGTGAACCAGTTGTTCGCCTCGGCATTGTCGATCCAGTCAAGGACCCAGCGCGTCCTCTTGAGCGAAATCCCAGCAGCACTCTCCCGGTATGAAAGCCAGTAGCCCACGAACTCACACTCGACACCACCGTGAAACTTCCGGTAAGAAAACGGCGTGCCAAGCACCTCGTAAGCAGCAAGGATCATCCAGAGCACCATGTATTTGTCGGGACCAGTCACCACGATATGGAGGTCATCAACGTACACAATCTGCACATTCCAGAGCCGTCCCATCACTCTCAAGACCCAACGTCCAATGCATCCGAACAATCTGGCCCAAAGGATTGCAGCTGAACTTACTCCGAATGTTCCTACGCAATTAAGCCAAATCATTTTGGACGCCGACGAAGTCCGGCAGCCCAACAAGGGCCAGTCGCGTCGTCGTATTTTGGATCTCCTGTGTGCTTTAGCAATGTCCGCCGCAATGGAAAAGGGTCTCGATGATTTCTGCAGGTCCAGGTACTTCGAGTTTATCGGCAATAACGATCCCATTGTTCAAGCGGACGCCGTGGGTGGCGTCGTGGAGAGGGCGGACGTCGCCACTCGGTTTAAGAATGGCGCCCATGGCGGCCACCAGGAGTCGCCCCTCGCCGTACTCCGCCTTCACGGCTCCTTCAGTCGTCGCAACCATCAAGCCTTCCCGCTCCTCAGCCCTGAAGTGCTCCTCGAGCTTATCCGATGACAGTTCAGCTGAAGTGTAATTCTGCATCTGCGGTTCAAACTCACTCTCATCAAGCTTGCGGAAACGGTCCCTCGGCCGGAACACCTGTGGTGCCGTCGGCAGTGGTGAGTCGAAACCCACCGGCATCCCCTCGGCATAACACTCCTCCCCTTGTACAAGTATCTTCCAGTCGGGGTCACCAAGTAGCCTCAGCGACTCAGCCAGGAAGTACAGGTGGAAAGGCTGTCGCTCTGGCACACGCAGCAGGTCCGAAGTCGCCCCCGGGATGATGTCGACGATTCTCTGCCTCAGCTTCTGCAATGCCGACTGCGCGAATGGAGACTTCTTCACATGGCCCGTCGCAAGCCGAAAAGCCATGTCCTTGGGATCCTTCAGCTGATCAATCACAAAATCTCTTAGCAGTCTTAGCAGTCCACGAATTTTCTCAGCATGTGCGACTTCATCACTCGATGCCAGCTTTTCCCTCGCCTCAGGAGCCCAACGGCCAGGCGAGCACAGCCCAAAGCCGTCCACAAACTCCTGCATGGGTTGCCCGAAAGCGCGACTGGTCTTGGGGTCAAACGCTTCCCTGGCTGCATGGTCGACCCCCACCTCCGGCCCCTGACTTGTCCATCCCCGCCACTGCCGCGCGCGGCCAAGGTGGATTTGCCTGGGGCATCGAAGGATTCCGCTTGAGCCTCCCCCCCCCGCAGGAGAGGAATCCAAGACAGGAAAGCCCAGTGAAGCCAGAAAAGCAGAGTCCTCGGCAGAAAGTAGCTGCAAGTGCTGAGGGGTATATGCAATGGCGATGAGCCGATCTCCAGTCCAAGGCTGGGTTGCATGCAAGCACCCGCGGGCATCCAAGTAGACCGGACCGTCCTGTAAAGAGTGCACAGTGCCCGTGACGGGCGAGCCATGAAAGGAGCGCACTGTGGTACCGGAAGGATCCTGAATCCAAATACCACCATTCGAAAATGAAGAAATCGCCACAATCATGTTGGGCACTGCCGCGTTCCGCGGATCACGATGGACCTCACTGCTGACGTTCTTTGTGAGAACAAAGGCGGCATAATGATGGCACGGGTCCACCGAACGAAGGAAAGCATTGATCACACGCATGGCTTCGGGGAATGTGTAACAAGTGGATCGCGGTGCAGTGACACCCTCCTGATGCATAGTACCTCCAAAGAAAGCGGTGCCAGGTTCGGCGCTGCCTGTGACTTTGTGGGGCCGAGTCTTGGGAAGTAAGTCGAAAAGAATCTGAACAGAGGCGCGATCAAAAGCACCGCGCGCAATACACTCCGTGGCAAAGGCCTCCGCCGAAGAAGGAATGTTGATCGGGATCAAATCGGAATCGGCCACGGCCCTCAATTCAGAAACAGCACTCAAGGAAAGACGTGCGAAGAAAGCAGCGAAATCCGAAGGATATGCCGCCGTGGTGGCCGATTTCCAAGCGCCATCCTGAAAACCGCAAGCTCGGTCTGCATGTGCATGCGGGCACCGTAAGAGCGGTCCCGCGTAATCTCCATCATCATTGACACATGGCAGCCGCATCCCAAAGTGCAGTGCCCCCGGCAAGTTGGAGAGCAAGCGTGTAGGTTTGCACGACACAGCCCCGAAAAAGCATTGGTGCAAAGCCCAGCAACTGACATCGCCTTCAGCGCAAATCTGACGAACCTCATCAAAGGACCAAATAGAAGCGGGCCTCTCACCAGACGGCACACGGCCAAGATCTTCCGGATGCTCAAGAATGAAGTTTCTCTTGAGCCGAACGACTTGGACCAAACAGCTGCAAAAGTTAAAGGTCGCAAAACTTGAGTCGCACAGTAAGCTGAAAGGTTTAGGAACACCGAACTGAGCTGCAAGGTTAAGCGAAACGGCACACTGAATGAAAATGTTTTGAATCCTCAAAGACGCCTGCGGAGTATAGCGCAATCACGATGTGAAACACATGAGTGCATGAAATACGATAAAGTAAATCATGATAAAATGCATGGGGTTTCCTAGGAGGCAAAATAATAAACACCCCGCCTACGAAGCTTCATTGAGCTCGCAGGTTGAAGTCTTCGGCATAATCTAGTTTGCCTCACCCCGTACGAAACAACAGCTTGCTTAGTTCAAGATTGCACTCGACTCACAGACTACTTTTCATGAGCACTGCCCCAAAAGGTCGTTGGCTCGATACGTTGTTCGACTACGTAGAACTGTACATCTACGACTAGGTTACACCGTCTCTGAGAGCGTGCGTCGCCCACGAGACGATAGCTTGACTCACCCAAGCGTAGGCGCATGTGGCATCAGTGCAGCTCGCAGCTGCCACACCACGTTGAAGCATGATTCCTAAGGGATCAGCACAAGGATTGAGATGCCTAATTGCATCGAGTGGCTCGTGAGCCTACTCCTTCGGACTCACAGCTGCTCCACAGCTGCCAAAGTAGTTCGTACGTTAATCAAGATTGACAGCAAAATGCTGTTTCGAAGTCCTGTCATGTTTTGCTCAAACACAAGACTATGTACAATCATCATCGCCAGCAGCCTTTGTACAAGAATCCAACCGATCAGTGCACTGCCCGAAGCAGCGCACTCAAGGATTGGCGCATCAAGAGCATTATAACAAGTCAGCCACCGTAGCAAGCTTTGCATGGCTTAAAGCCTCGGCGCACTGCCTCTCCACGCGTAAGGCGCTCAAGTGCTTTGGCATTATGCAAGTTGCCGCAACTCCGGCGGCCATGGTATGCATAACCACGCGACTTAGTCACCCACACTGTCTGCTGATCAAGCTCATCTCTGATACGCTGGTCAAGTACAGATGCATATGCAACTGCTGGGTTCGGTGCTTTCGGCTGCATCGGCGCTTTTGGCTGCACCGCAGGTCCATTGGATGATCGCGCTGTCGGGTCGGGAGCATCATGGTCATCAGCAGCTCGGCCGCTGCTCTGTCCAAGCACACTCGCACTGCACGGCCCGGCACTACTCTTAGGGCTAGCCAAGGCGCAAGGATTAGGGTTTTCGGCAGGTTTCGGGACTACACTATCAACCGAAACTTTGGCTCCCTCGACTGTCACATTGACGCACACACCCGGCATCACCTGCGGCGCGCTGCCATCGCTGCACGCAGCTGCCTCACTTGCCTTCTCATGCAACCTTTCTGGCCTGTTTCCACGGCACAAGAAGATACCACACAGCACTGCAATGATAACGCATTGGCTCACGATAAAACTAGAAGACAATTGGCCCGAAAGCATCATCAGCGAAGATTGTGGGGCTATGTGATAGATCCAGTGTATAGGATCGTAAAGTCACAGAGTCAAGAGTCATAGAGTCCATGAGTCATGAGTCATAAAGTCATAGAGTTACAGTGAGATAGCGTCATAGAGTCATAGTGAGATCGAGTCACGAGTCATGGAGTCATCTATGTAGCATGCACTTGACTCGATGTAGTTCACTCTATGCTCTATGTGTGGGAACGCTTAATCGAGATCCCCATAGCGTGAGGGCTCATAGCCTGACCTGGACCTCGAGATGCAGATACAGTCAAGAGTCATAGAGTCCATGAGTCATGAGTCATAAAGTCATAGAGTTGCAGTGAGATAGCGTCATAGAGTCATAGTGAGATAGAGTCACAGAGTCATGGAGTCATCTATGTACCATGCACCAAAATGTGTAACTTCACCTCGCGCTCGAACACTCGACAACGCCAATCTGTGTGAAGGGTTGCAAAATTCATTTCAATGCTCATCAAAAAATGCAACTTTACCTCGCGTTCGAACACTCGACCACGCCAATCCCTGTGAGGGGTTGCAAAATTCATCTCAATGCTCATCAAAAATTGCAACTTTACCTCGCGTTCGAACACTCCACCACGCCAATCCCTGTGAAGGGTTGCAAAATTCAGCTCAATGCACATCAAAAAATGCAACTTTACCTCGCGTTCGAACACCCGACCACGCCAATCCTTGTGAAGGGTTGCAAAATTCATTTCAATGCTCATCAAAAATTGCAACTTTACCTCGCGTTCGAACACTCCACCACGCCAATCCTTGTGAAGGGTTGCAAAATTCATTTCAATGCAAATCAAAAACTGCAACTTTACCTCGCGTTCGAACACCCGACCACGCCAATCCCTGTGAAGGGTTGCAAAATGCAAATCCCTGTGAAGGGTTGCAAAAAAAATTGAACTGCACCCAAACCCTGTGAAGGGTTGCGCGGCGCCCGCAAGAAGTGTAAGTTTACCTCGCGTTTGAACGCCCGAGGAGGCGAATCCCTGTGAAGGGTTGCGCGGCGCCCGCAAGAAGTGTAACTTTACCTCGCGTTTGAACGCCCGAGGAGGCGAATCCCTGTGAAGGGTTGCGCGGGAACCCTAAAATGTGTAACTTTACCTAGCGTTTGGGCGCTCGAGAGTTCCAATCCCTGTGAAGGGTTGCGCGGGAACCGCAAAATGTGTAACTTTACCTCGCGTTTGAACGCCCGAGGCAGCGAATCCCTGGGAAGGGTTGCGCGGTGCGCCTAAAATGTGTCACTTTACCTAGCGTTTGAACGCCCGAGAGTTCCAATCCCTGTGAAGGGTTGTGCCGGGCGCCTAAAATGTGTAACTTTACCTCGCGTTTGAACGCCCGAGGCAGCGAATCCCTGGGAAGGGTTGCGCGGTGCGCCTAAAATGTGTCACTTTACCTAGCGTTTGAACGCCCGAGGCAGCGAATCCCTGGGAAGGGTTGCGCCGGGCGCCTAAAATGTGTAACTTTACCTCGCGTTTGAACGCCCGAGGCAGCGAATCCATGGGAAGGGTTGCATTCCCGATGGACCCCGACGGTGCCACCCCCGCCAATATTAAGAAATATTAAGATACCGAGATGTAGAGAGTAAGTCATAAGTCATAGTAAGTCATAGATGCAATAGATGCATAGAGAGTCAGTCATAAGTAAGTAAGTATAGTAAGTATAAGTAAGCAAGTCAAGTAAGTAAGTAAGTATAGAGATAGCATAACATAGAGTCCAGTGTCAAGTGTCAAGTGTCAAGTAAGTTAGTAAGTAGATTGAAGTAAGTAAGTAAGTAAGTCGTAAGCATAACATAGAGTCAAGTATCAAGTGTAGAGTCAAGTATCATAGAGTCAAGTGTCAAGTGTAGAGAGTCAGTCATAAGGGTCAAGTAAGTAAGTAAGTATCAAGTGTAGAGTCAAGTATCAAGTGTAGAGTGTAGAGTAAAGTATGGAATCAAGTAAGTTGATTCTATGTCTGTCATCTATGTACTCAGCTGCGGCGTTCCACACGGAAGAACCCTTCGCGATGCTTTCGGGAACTCGGCATGGGATGCTCTGCAAGAAAATCAGCAATCAAGAAAATCGCATACAGCAACTGTTCAAGAAAATTCCAAAACATCTCCCCGTAACCGTGCTCGCCAGTCCCCTGGCTCAAGGCGTCATCGCGATGCGTATTGGGCTCATCATCGGCACTGGCGACAGAATCTGCTTGCAAAGCCAATGCAAGGATCTGAAGCACAAGCTGTGGGTTGACTGCTCCTCGCTTCACAATGCGACTCACATGATGTCGCGTCCTGTGATCAAGCAAATGGGCGTTCCCAACCAAGGCATAGCCGCAATCCTTGTCACGAACATTCAACCGTGCAAGGATGAACTCAACTCTCTCTGGCTTTAGCGGCTTCGTGGGAAGGTCACCAACATTCTCTGCGGTTCCAACCGGTGAAATGTCCAGCATCTTTTCCTGAGTCATCTGCTGAAGCCACAACAGCTTTCCGTCGATGTGGCGAGTCCGTCCGACTCCTTGGCGATTCCCAAGCGACCTAGCTGCTGCATTGTCACACAAGCATGTTAGTGCAATATGCAGTTCCGGGCACAAGTGTATGACGCAATTCTTAAGGAGGATGGCAGTTGCCGCACCAGCAACCAGGGAGTTGTACTCAGCCTCGCACGAAGAAAGACTGATCACTTTCCAGCTGCCCGTCCCAAAGAATGCAACATGCAGATACGGACTTGCGCGTCTTCTTATCCCCGGACCAGTCACTGTCTGAGAACATTTCGAGGGTAGAAGTTTTCTGCTCAGACACGCGATTGCAGATCAGTCCTTGCCCAAGCTGGGGTTTTGCCAAACAAAGCACATGTGACTTATGGCAATTCACATAGGCAGTCAGATGCCTCAGTAACTTCCAGCAGCCTTCGGTAGGCTTGTGAGCATGTGTGGACAAGAACCGAATCCCAAATTGACACGCCAACAGGTCAGAAGCAAGGTACATTAAGATACCAAGTGCTGAGCGATACTTTGATGCTGACTCTGAGTTCAGCTCGCGGTCCGATGAAAGGTCTGTCGGCAGGCCTCCAGTCGGGAACGGGGCCGCCTTGTACCGCTCCTTGGCACCATCTAGTCCAGTGATCTTCAAGAGTTTCTCAAGATATTTGATATCAGGCTCAACAACCAGCAAATTGGGGCTGACTAGGATCAGTCGCCGCTTCAAGAAGGAAACCTCGTCGCCGACTTGGCGGATCCATTCACTGGACACTTTGAACTTTGACTTCAAGTGATTCTCAAGCTCCTGAAGGCGTGCGGTCAATCCTGCCGAAAGCATGTCGTCTACATGCACCATTCCACCTCCTTGGCACTTGTGGTTGCCTTCCGCATGTGGGATGCGAAACAACACTGGCTGCTCTGCCAATGGCTCAGCAGCAACAGCTGCGCGGATTTCACACATAAAATCTTGAAACCAGGTAGCAGATCCGTCCCGTTGCCCAGGCAGCATTCGGAAAAGTTTATACCATTTTCCATCAACTTTTGTCAAGGTATCATGCTGTTGCTTGCACTGCAAGAAAGCGTCAGACACATCAAGACTCAGTAGAGACCAACCGTCCCAAAAGTTGCGAATGAAAAGCGATGGAACAATTCTCAGCATGCACTGGGTCGTCGTCGGTGCAAACAAGTGTTGCCTGCCCGGATCTAGATGCGCAAATTCGCGCGCAACCAACCTGGCTCTGCGCAACCAAACGCGCTCCTGATTGATCACTTTAGGCCTCCAGGTGCGAACGTACTTTGAAGACAATGTCCGATGCCCTTCAAGCCAGGACTCACTTTGTTCAAGAACACCGGCTTTTGTCAACTGCTCAAGCTCAAAGGAATCTGCTGCAGCATCAATGGCTTCGAGCTCGGATGCATCGCACACTGGCTCAGTTTCACTGAAAGGCTTAATCAAAATACTCGGGATGTCAGGTGCATTGGCTGAGTCATCAGCCCAATCCTCGGTGTCCCAAATGGACTCATCCTGACAGTCAAGAAACTGCTCTGCACTTTCATCAAGAAGCTCTGGAGCCTCATCATGATGGAACATCTCACAGTCATATGCACTTGTCTGAACAGCATCAAGACGAAGTTTCTTTCGGGCTGGAGCTTCCCCGCCTGCTTCCTCAGTCGCAGGACGTGCTATCCCAGAGGACGAAGAAGCAATCCCAGGCCCATCATCGAACGACACAAGTGGCGAGGCCGTTTCAACTTGCATCGGCGTTTCTGCTTGCTGCCCTGGAGTGGCCGCTACAGGCGTGGGCGGCTCAGGTGAATGCAACACTGGCTCTCGGGGCAGCGGTGGCACAAACTCTTGCAGCATTGCATCGTCGGGCAACAGATGACCCGGAAACGGCAAAGGATTCTCCGCCGCACCTGCTTGTGAAGGCACTTCGGCTTGCTGCTCAACCTGAGGCTCAGTACCGGCATCCTCATCACCCTGAAGCGTTTTCTGCTTGCGTGCTTGACCAACTTGGCCTGCAAGAAAAGACGCTTGGCTCCAAGGCATGTCGCGCAGCTTGGCACACAAGGATGAATCATATTGCTTTGGCAACCGTCTAACGGACCTTGAGGACAGCATGAATCCTCCCTCGGTGACTCCAAAGTGCAGGTCCGATACAGGAAGTTTTCCAAGCCAAAGCATTTTGCACCAGCGTGCTTTTCCTTTTACACTGCTCTTGACTCTGGCGTAAACATTTTCTCCAAAACAAACGAGTTTCCCTGCATACGGCCGGCCATTGATCACCTGAAACGCACTGAGGTCGTTGTGCCGCGACATTCGCATGTGAAGCCATGCCGCGGGTCTCCAAGCATAGCCGTGCAGTGGGTGCATTGCACCTACAGTTGTCTGGGCACGCTCCTCAAACTGGTCAAGAATGCATCCTGCAAGCTGCCGGATGCTATCAATGGCCTGTTCCGACGGATTTGACTGGTGGTCACCTGGCTCGGTCTGTTCCAAGTGGGTGCGTAACCCCATCTTGGTCCTAAAAGCTTTGATGCCCTGCTGAAGTGCTAAGCAAGCTGGCTCACCGTCAGACCTGATCGTGACGGACTCATGCCCACAGTAATTCAAGAACCGACAAACTTCGGCAACAAGATACTTGAAAGCAACCGGTCCGCCCTTGGCTGGCGTTGGCACAGCATGCATCGCTCCAGTGTGGGAGTCCTTGATCACAAGGCAAACAAGCTTGTCCTTTGACGCACCTTCAAACTCAGCTGGGCTGCTCCGTCCTGTATAAGCAAAATCGAAGCTGCACACCGAATCGTCCCGCAGCTCAAGTTTGCTCGACACATGTTTGTCGGCTTTGGCGCGGAACTTTACACAGTGTGGGCACCAATCGGCATACGGCACATGACTGAGCTCGTGCCGTCGCTTCTGCTCTGCAGTTGGCTCTTCGACAAACTTTTGTTCAAGCGGCAATGGCACACCATCAGTCTGGAAAGCATGTTGTTGCAGCAACTCCTGGGTTTTCAAGTGTTGCTCGATCCTCGCAAAGACCGTCTGCTTTCCTCCGGACTTGCCTATTCCAAGAACCTCACAGGCCGACCTTAGGGTCTTAAGGGTACACCCGGGATGCAGTTCAACCCCATTGACCACAACATGACCCTGCGAAGGAACTTCGGCGAGAGACACGGGTCCTACACCGGCACCTTCATCAACATCTTCAGCCTTTTCATCCTCTTCAAGCATGTTTTCATCAGGCGGTGCATCAGCATACTCGCCGTCATAACTTTCATCGTTCCACGCTACAGGCTGATGATCAAACAGCTTTTCTACTTGCAAGGGGTCAACAGAGCCAATGGTGATGATGTGGCGGGATCCTTTAGGCTCAAACTCCTTCTCAAGATCATCAAAGAGGCTGATCAAGCAGTTGATTTCAATCAGTTTCCATTCGGCACCATCATACTGAAGGGTCGTGCGGAAGCCCACTCCATGGTGGCTCAACGGCACTGACACATCAAGAAACCGATCCGACTGATCTTGCCTAGCAAAGATTCCAGGCTGCATCTCGGTGTATTGGCTACCCAGGTTCAGCCATGCACTGCCAAGCTTAAGCGCACGCACCGCAGCCGCAACAGGGCTGTCTGCTTCAGCACTCCGGGGCACCTCGACCTGCTGGTCGTTGCCGCGCACCTGCTCATCATCAAGCTCGGCTTCCTGGGGCTCGTGGTGTCGGGCCGCATCGTCCTCTCTGTCATCGCTCAAACAGTCGTTGGCACACACTACCACGCTCATGATGGAGCCTCGCGCATGCAAGGAATTGTGCCGGTAGTGCATAGGCACGCGCACTGTGCCCCCAGGATTTGTCAAGTAAGGAACACCGTCACTGTGGATGATGTCCCATCCCCGCCTGAGCAACTTGCCGACACTGAAAAGCGGCTGTGTCACACTGCTCAACAGCCATCGCTCCTTGAATTGAACACCATCAATCTGAAGCACTGCCGTACGCATTTGCGAACCCCTGATCATGCGACCCTGGGCATCCCTGAAACTATCAAGGCTCGCTCCATCAGCCCTTCCGACGTGTGCCCAGGACAGCGGCAAGCATGAGGCATCCGACCCAGAGTCGACCACAACCTCAATCTCGTTGCTCATGTCTGCCCATGACACTGCACACACACTGAGGTCCTGAAGTGGATGCACAGGTGGGGTCTCAAGCTGCTCAGCGGCGGCTTCGCACGTGTGCAACATCGGCTCGCACTGCAGTGGCGGCCGTGATCGCCTACCTGGCCTTGCACGGTTGCGGGCTGGCGCCTTGCACTTCACATACTCAGAATCACGTGCACTGCTCAACCAACCAACACATGTGGCTCCATGCATCTCATCTGGCACTGTCCAGACACAATCACCGTCCGACTATGACATGTCAAACATTTCAGCCTCGGGCACTGGCACAAGTACATGTGGCTTCACAGGGTCAACGCATGCAGACGCCAAAGACTTGCACAGTGAAGCAAAACTCGGCTGGGCAGTAGCTGCAGCTGGGTCCTCAGGACACACTTTTGTCAAAACACACAAGTGACCGCTGATCTCGGCATCGTCCTGAAACGCACTGGAAGTCATGTCTATCTCAACTCTAGCAACGCGCTTCGTGGTGGTAGCAGCGCTGCCCGCGACTTGCGATGCTGAAGGACCAACAGTGCTAGGCGCAACAGTGGACGCTGTGTCCGAACCCTGTGCCTGGACTTGCTGCACACGCGGACGCCAGCACTCACTAGCATAATGACCCTTGCGCTGGCAATTGTGGCACACTACATTTGCCCTAGAGCCCTTGGCACCAGGATTCTGCGGCTGCTGTCCACCTTTGCCTTTGTGCTCCTTGCCCTTCTTGCCCTTTTGCTTGCCTTCTTTGGCCTTGCCCTTGTCACCATACGGATTCTGCGGTTGCTGTCCACCTTTGCCTTTCTGCTCTTTGCCCTTCTTGCCCTTGCCTTTTGGCCCTTTTCTTTGAAGTGCATCAACCTCCATCGGGACTGGGCCTTGCTCGACAGCACTGGGTAAAGGCACTACACCAAGAGCTTGGTGCATTTTGGCTGGAGTCCAAGACGTTGTCGTAACTTCATACCCCAGAGGCCCCAGAACGTAGTCCCTGATGCTTTGGTAACTACTGGAGTCTGTCATCTGAAGTTGAACGTGTTGTTTTATCGCAGAGGGAAGGGACCGAACTAGTGTGCCTAGCATAACCTCTTCCCCAGGATATTGTCCAGTGACCCTTTGATATTCTTCAGCTATTCTCTCGAGGCCCTGGATGTGTTCTCGCAGGCTGCGATCTTTCCCGAAGCTCGGGAGCGTCATAAGAGCGTTCAAGAGAGCGAGTCCTCTGAATTTCGATTTGGGTGCGAAGGTATTGGTGAGCACCCGCCAGACTTCTAGGCCGTTTCTGTTGACGACCTGACGCAAG